GCTCACACCAGCACTAAGCTCACACCAGCACTGAGCTCACACCAGCATCTTACTCACCAGCACCACACTCACACCAGTGCCACATTCACACAAGCACCATGCTCACATCAGCACTGCACTCACACCAGCATCTTACTCACCAGCACTGAGCTCACATCAGCATTGCGCTCACACCAGCATCTTACTCAGCAGCTCCTCACTCACACCAGCATGGCACTCACACCAGCACCAAGTTCTCACCAGTGCCATGCTCACACCAGCACTGAGCTCACACCAGTATCTTACTTACCAGCTCCTTGCACACACCAGCACTGCACTCACACCAGTGCCAAGTTCACATCAGCACCATGTTCACACCAGTGCCATGCTCACATCAACATTGCACTCACACCAGTGCCAAGTTCACATCAGCACCATGCTCACACCAGCGCCATGCTCACACCAGCACTGCACTTGTCCTGTGTCTATGCTGACATGCTGTGATAACCAGGCCAAGAACGTCCTATCACCACACACTCAGTACTGTACTTGCGCCAACACCACACTCTAATCAGCACTAACAAGCGCGGGCAGAGCTGGATTCTGACTTGTGTTACAGCCTTCATGGCCTCTTCAAAGAGCAGGAAACAAGTCAGAATTCAGGAGACGCCCCAAGCAAGACCTATAGAGCCTTGGCCTCTGCACTGCCTTCCATGGGGACCTGGGGGTGTCAGGCATGATCTGGGCAAGGGAAGAAGTATCCCTACAGGTGCTAAGTGCCTGGTGTCCACAAAGCAAGACCCCCACAGGCTGACACACCATCTGGGCAAGAGCTGCATCTCCTGAGGGAAGACACGTCCCTACCTACATCCCTGACCATGTGCTCACGTCACATACCCAGTCAGGTCTGCCCCTCACCCATGCCTCTGACCATGTGCTCACGTCACATATCCAGTCAGGTCTGCCCCTCACCCATGCCCCTGGCCACGTGCTCACGTCACATATCCAGTTAGGTTTGTCCCTCACCCATACCCCTGACCACATGCTCATGTCACATAACCAGTCAGGTCTGCCCCTCACCCATGCCCCTGACCACGTGCTCATGTCACATATCCTGTTAGGTTTGTCCCTCACCCACACCCCTGACCACATTAAATATCCAGTCAGGTCTGCACCTCACCCATGCCCCTGACCATGTGTCCATGTTACATATCCAGTCAGGTCTGCACCTCACCCATGCCCCTGACCATGTGTCCATGTTACATATCCAGTCAGGTCTGCCCCTCACCCATGCCCCTGACCACGTGCTCATGTCACATATCCAGTTAGGTTTGTCCCTCACCCACACCCCTGACCATGTCAAATATCCAGTCAGGTCTGCCCCTCACCCACGGCCCCGTGTGTTCATGTCATGTCTAGGCAGATCCGTCCCTCACCACAGCCCTGACCACATGTCATATTACTTGTTTGGTCAGGTCTACCCCTCACTCAAAGCCCTGAATGTGTGCTCATGTAATTGTTCAGTCAGGTCTGCCCCACACTGAGCCCCCTGACCACATACCCACATCACTTGTTCTGTCAGGCTTACCCCTCACTCACACTGTCTGTTCAGCCCGGTCTGCTGACCGGCCCCAGAGAGCACTCAGCTCCGGTCCAGAATGGCCAGTGGCCCCTGAATGTGCTTTCCCAGCATGACCCTCGTCTCAGGAGCCATGGCCAGCTCATAGTTCTGTCCACCACCACCCTCAGGGCTCACCTGTACTCAGGATGAGAGGGAGATGGCTAGAGGCCATGGTAGGTGGGTCAGGGAGAGATCAGCAGGAAACCCTGAGCCTGCTCTGATCAGCTGTACTGTTGAGTCCAACAAGCCCAGCACTGACCCCCAATTCCATGGGAAAGGCAGGGCTGGGACCTTTTCCCTCCCACACTTCAATGTAAGCCAACATTCGGACATTGGTGCCACAACCAAGCACCTGGCTGATGGGCACTGAACTCAAGGCCTTGGTGAGGGCACGGAACAGCAGGCTGTGACAAGGAGCAACTCTAGGAGGTGTACGTGACATGAGAACATGGTTACGATGAGAAAGGAGAGGGTCCCATCATTCCCTGTCACTCCAGACAGGTACTGGGGGTAGTGGGACGGACAGGTACTGGGGGTAGTGGGACAGACAGGTACTGGGGGTAGTGGGACAGACAGATACTGGGGGTAGTGGGACAGACAGGTACTGGGGGTAGTGGGACAGACAGGTACTGAGGGTGGGGACAGACAGGTACTGGGGTGGGGACAGACAGGAACTGG